AGTGGGAGTAATGAAGGGCAAGGGTTGAGGGAAAGAGAGCCTGTGGGAGCGAGAGATCCCAGCTGGATCAAGAACAGAGAGGGAGAACAAGGAATAGGAGACCATGGTAAATGAAGAGCACATGAGAAAAGGAAGAAACAAAGTGCTAGAGAGGCCCACAGAAATCCACAAAGATACCCCCGTAATCGACTGCTGGCAATGGTTGATAGACAGCCGGAACTGACCTAATTCATCCTTCTATGCCCTAAGTTAAGGGAAGAATTAGGCAAAGTGAGTCCCAGTTCCAGGAAGCAACTTTATACAAAGCCTGCTGCAACTCTGGTCCAAGCATGGCAGGGTCCATCACAACTTAGAAACCAAATTTTGGGGGAATCATTGATGTTTAACTGTTTCTGAAAACAACAAAGATGCAAAATTTAAGGCCATACATTCTTAGTGTATATTTTCAGTTCAGTACTGTTGTAAGCATCTGTATTTGGTATGATAAGAGCTCCAGTGAGGAGACTGTGAGAGTTCATTGCTTGATGCTATGAGAATGAAGCCTGGGTTGTATTTTGAGAACTTAAGATGCTGAGATATTTAAGCTATGAGACATCTTCCATGGAGAGCTGCGTATATGGAGTGGAAGTAACCAAAGATAGAGATATAAGAAAAATTGTGGAGAGAGGGACATCTAAGCCCTTTGAAACTGAAGCCCTATTTGTCTGACACAGAGCTATGGGATTTGATGGTTGCCCTGCTGGGTTTCAGCCTTGCCTTGGTCCAGTCTTCCCCCACTATGTCTCAATTCCTCTCTTTTGGAATGGGAATGGCTATTCTGTGCCATTTGGATGTTGGAAAGATTTAACTTGTTTTCTGATTTTACAAGATGACACAGTCAAGAGATTGTCTTGAGTGTCAAAAAAGACTGGACATTTGGACAGTGTAGGGGCAGAGTATGAGGATCATTGAAGTGACTAAATTTGTTTTCTTCATGGATGACCCTAAGCCTATAGTGACCTGGGTATGAATCTAGTTGACTGAATAAAAAGCTACCATATAAAATAAAGTATCTGGACACTTGTCTCTCCTTGGTGGCTTTGTTTGGGTTGTTTGTAGAACCTTTAGTAGGAGAAATCTTTCTAGATGAAATTCTACATTGGGGATAGGATTTGAATGTCAATAGCCTCTACCCATTTTCTGTTCTTTGTTTCTACTATGGTATGGTTGAAACAAATCAGCCAGCACCCTTCTTGTGCTATCACGAGTTCACCACTATCATAAATGGTATCTCTATATCACATAATATACACTTGAAGCAAATTGCTATTAAATCTTAAGCCATTTTGCTTGCTTGAATTTTTAAATTTTATTGTTTTTATTCTAGTTTCTGAAGATAAGGTTTGTCTGAGTAGCCCTGGATGTTCTGAAAGTTGCACTGAAGACCAGGCTGGCTTCAAAATCAGAGATTCACCTGATTCTTGCTCCTACATGCTGGGATTAAAGGTTGGCCAACATTCCTGGTATTTGGTGATGGGCCTAGAGTATATATTTTTTTACATGTCAATCATAAACTGCTTTCTGAGCTTCACTCTCAGCTTTAATTTTGAAATTTGGCAGAGTGTATTGTTCTCTTTCCCATGATGGTAGTATTCATGACATTAATACTGCCTAGGCCTTCTGAGTCATTAGATTACAGGTGTGTGACATTCATCCTACTTGTGTTTGTTTTAATTTTTTTAATGAATATGATTCTTTTGCCTGTATTCATGGATATGTACCAACCATGTGCCTGATCCTCACAGTAGTCAAAACATTGTCTTGAAACCCATGAGCTTGGAATAGTTATGACCCCCCATGTAAGTACTGACAATTTAGCCCACCTTTATGCAAGAGCAGCAAGAACTCCTAACTTCTGAGCTATCTCTCCTGCCCTGTGTTGATTATTTGTGATAAAAATTTATATTGTTAATGTTTTCATCTATCTATTTGTAAGTGTTTAAATGCACAATTCCTTTTAGTAAGGTTTATTAAAGTTACAGTTTAAACTGGAACACTTACGATTCCTGGAAGATGAATACAGAACTGGAGTGAATGTATAACTCTTTGTAGGAACTTCAGTATTTCTTCTTTTTTGTTTGATTGATTGGTTGATTTTTGCAGTGGGGATAAGTTGTTAATATTTACTTCTTGATGTCCAGGAACTGATTGCATTGCCTTGGCTAGCTTTTAACTCAGAAGCAGATATATCTGCCTCTGCCTTCTGAGTGCTGAGATTAAAGACATTAACCAATATACCAAGCTTGCTTATCTTTTTTTGTAGTTAGCAATTGTTTATACAATTTCTCTGATGTGTACTCAATACTGTTGATATGTTTGCTTGTCTCTCTATGTCTGTTAATAGGTAATTTTCTTGCAGTGTGATATCCCACTCAAAGTGTTCAGAAATGATAGAGGTAAACATTCTATTCAGTTTCCTTCTAAAATGACTTGATGATTATATTATAATGTCTATGTCATAAATAAGGGTGGGAAGCAGAGGAATTATGACTATTTTGTCAAAGAAGTGTACTTTTACAATATTATCAGTATTATGGTTTTGTTGTATACATATATATGGCATATTTATGTTTGGCATATTTTAGGATGCAGTGACCTATAATGATGTGCATGTCAACTTCACTCAGGAAGAGTGGGCTTTGCTGGATCCTTCCCAGAAGAATCTCTACAGAGATGTGATGCTGGAGACCTATATGAACCTCACTGATATAGGTAATGCTGTAAATTTTTTGTCACATTTAAAAATAAGGGGACAACTGTTTCTTGGTTATTGGTGTGCTTCTCTAATGTTGATTGAGAATGAGGAAGAATGGGGTGAATAAATCATGCATGGTTCTAAGGATCACTGAAGATTGTAACTTAAATTTTGCACAAGTTCTAGTACTACTTTATATATTTCCTCATGCTATATTTTAGGCTACAATTGGGAAGATCATAAAGTTGAAGAGCACTGTCAAAGTTATCAAAGATATGGAAGGTAATTTTCATGTGCAAGCTGATACAAATGCGCCTCTGGAGATATTTTAATGTATCTAGAAGTTTTAAAGAAAAGTACCAGTAGCAGCTTAAATTTGCATTGATGATTCTTAAATGCTCACAAACCCATATACCTCAATGACAGGTAAGTGAATTGTGTTTGCAAGTCATTCTTTTAAGAAGGAAGACAAGGAATCAATGCCTTAACATATATCACCATTTGAATCATAGCTCCATCAGAGCTAGCTGTGCTGTAGAACTGCCAATCCATTTAGTTTCATACCACTCATATTACAAAAGGTATACATGTTGACTATGTGATAAGTGTATGTCTAAAACCTTCTAATAAACAAATAGTCCATAGTAAAACCAGTGTTATTCATAGTGGTTCTATCATTGCTAAGTTTAGTGAGATGGGCAGTTAGAGTCAAGAGTTAAGTGAGAGTTGTTGTGAAGAAACCTTAATCCCTATACCAGAAACAGAAAGTCAAACTGTGTGAATGCAATGTAGAAACCTTTTATTTGTTATTCTTCCTTAATAGGTACATCATATGTTACTCTGGATACAAGTCATATAAGCATAGGTGTAGACACATTTCTAAATGGTCTTATTAAATAAAAAGCATGGAGCCAGATACAGGGGTGAAAGCCTGAGAGAGATCAGGGAAATAGGGAAAGCCACAGCTAACCTTACCTCACCAACTCTGCAGCTTCCAAATGCAAGTTACTTCCTGTCTACCCATGCCTATATGCCTTGCTGTTCTGCCATCTGATTTGCTTTCTCTGTCCAGCTACATTACTTCCTCTTCCTGCCTAGCTCTGTCACTTCCTGTTTTTCTGTACAGACATCCATGGTTAACTAGTGTTGGAATTTAAGGTGTTTGCCACCATACCTGGCTCTGTTTTCAGTGTGGCCTTGAACTCACAGAGATCCAGACAGATCCCTGCCTGCCAAGTAATAGGATTAAAAGCATGTGTTACCATTGCCTGACTCCTTTGTTTACTTATAATGGCTGTTCCTATTCCTCTGATCTCCAGGCAAGCTTTATTTATTAAAACACAAATAAAATATCATCACATTTCAGCACAAATAAAATATCACCACACATAGTGATATAGAAAGAAGCTATGTACCTCTCTCCATCTCAGAACATTATGTAGTAGTACTCATGTTGAGTAGATGTGTTGAATGTAATTCATGTTGACAAGTAATTGCTTTTCCAGCTTCAATGGAAATACATCAACAAACACACTGCAGAAAAGCCCTATGAGTACTAGTATTATATAAATAATTCTGTTTGTCCTGGTTCACTTTGCAAATGTAGTATGACTCACAGTATAGGAAATTTGTCAATGGAATAAGGTCTGAATTCTACCAGTTGTCTTCAAATATGTGAAAAATCTCATTAAAAATGCCATAAATGTGAGCCAGGTCATTATAGCTCTTACCATCATAGGCATTTTCAAATATGCAAAATAATCTTTAATGAAAGGAAACAACATGAGTGTAAGCAAAGTGATAAAACCTTAAGATCTGATTCCTCTTTACATTTAGACCAAATTGTAAAATTAACTCATACAGATATAAAGATTCAACAGTGTAACAAATGTGTTACAGCTTTTAAATGTGCCAATTATCCTTGCAGGCATGAAAGAAGTCATACAGGAGAGCAAACTTCTGAATATACTGAATGTGTTAAAGCATTTTCATATTATAGTCTTCTTCAAAGGCATGAAATTCATATTGGAAAGAAACCCTATGCAGGTATTCAATATGGTGAAGCCTTAACATGTCATAATAGACTCCGAATACATAAACATACACATACTGGAGAGAAACCCTATGAATGTAATCAATGTGGTAAAGCATTTGCATATCATAGTCTTCTTCAAATGCATGAAAGAACACATACTGGAGAGAAACCCTATGAATGTAATCAATGTGGTAAAGCCTTTGCACGTTATAGTCATCTTCAAAGGCATGAAAGAACACATATGGGAGTGAAACCCTATGAATGTAATCAATGTGATAAAGCCTTTGCATGTTATAGTTATCTCAAAATACATAAAAGAACACATACTGGAGAGAAACCCTATCAATGTAATCAATGTGGTAAAGCCTTTGCACGTCATAGTAGTCTCAAAATACATAAAAGAACACATACTGGAGAGAAACCCTATGAATGTAATCAGTGTGATAAAGCCTTTGCTCATCACAATTCTCTTAAATGGCATAAAAGAATACATACTGGAGAGAAACCCTATGAACGTAATCAATGTGGTAAAGCCTTTGCACAACAAGGTCATCTTCAAAGACATGAAAGAATGCATACTGGAGAGAAACTCTATGGATGTAATCAATGTGATAAAGCCTTTGGATGTCATAGTTATCTCAAAATACATAAAAGAACACATACTGGAGAGAAACCCTATGAATGTAATCAATGTGGTAAAGGCTTTGCTCATCACAGTTATCTCAAAATACATAAAAGAACACATACTGGAGAGAAACCCTACCAATGTAATCAGTGTGATAAAGCCTTTGCTCATCACAATTCTCTTCAATGGCATAAAAGAACACATACTGGAGAGAAACCCTATGAATGTAATCAATGTGGTAAATCCTTTGGACAACAAAGTGATCTTCAAGTGCATAAAAGAATACATACTGAAGAGAAACCCTATGAATGTAATCAATGTGGTAAAGTCTTTGCACAACAAGGTCATCTTCAAATGCATGAAAGAACACATACTAGAGAGAAACCCTATGAATGTAATCAATGTGGTAAAGCCTTTGGATGTCACAGTTATCTCAAAATACATAAAAGAATACATACTGGAGAGAAACCCTACGAATGTAATCAGTGTGGTAAAGCCTTTGCATATCATAGTTATCTCAAAATACATAAAAGAACACATACTGGAGAAAAACCCTATGAATGTAATAAATGTGGTAAAGCCTTTGTATGTCACAGTAGTCTCCAAATACATAAAAAAAACACATACGGGAGTGAAACCCTATGAATGTAATCAATGTGGTAAAGCATTTGCATATCATAGTCTTCTTCAAATGCATGAAAGAACACATACTGGAGAGAAACCTTATGAATGTAATCAATGTGGTAAAGCCTTTGCACAACACAGTTGTCTCCAACTACATAAAAGAACACATACGGGAGTGAAACCCTATGAATGTAATCAATGTGGTAAAGCCTTTGGGCAACAAAGTAATCTTCAAATGCATAAAATACATACTGAAGAGAAACCCTATGAATGTAATCAATGTGGTAAAGTCTTTGCACAACAAGGTCATCTTCAAATGCATGAAAAAATACATACTGGAGAGAAACCCTATGAGTGTAATCAATGTGGTAAAGCATTTGCATATCACAGTTATCTCAAAATACATAAAAGAACACATACTGGAGAGAAACCCTATGAGTGTAATCAATGTGGTAAAGCCTTTGGACAACAAAGTGATCTTCAAGTGCATAAAAGAACACATACTGGAGAGAAACCCTACATGAGTAACTTTTAGTGTGTAATTAGTCTGTTAAAGCCTTTGAATATAGCATTAGATTTTGAGGATCTGAAAAAACTCATGCTGAAGGGAATCTGAATATAAAGCATTTAGTAATATTTTTAGCCAACCCACTTACATTACACAAAATTATTCTGGAGAAAACAATCTGAGAAGTGTTAACAATTGGTTCAAGCAATATGATGCCCCCTCTTTATTTTGTTTACATCTGCAAGCTCACATGGACACAAGGCCTATGAATTTAAATGATAAAGTAACTTTTAGATTTCATACTTCTCAATTACATGAGATAATGAATCCAGGTGTAAAACTTCCTGCATGTGTATTAGTGCCTTTTCTGCTGCTGTAATATAACATTATTTCTATATTTGCTTACAAAAGTGTTTAAGTTGTCCCTAGATTCCTGAGCAATACAGGATCAGCATGAAAGTGGCATGGAAACAAGTGTCAGACATGGCAGCTAAAGTAGAAAGCTAAAAATTCATATCCTTAACCTGCAGCATGAAGCAGAAAGTGTAAATTGGAAATGGTGTGCAGATATAAACTCAGGCCAACCACCAGTGAAGTATTTCTTCCAGCGGGGCAGCATTTTCTAAATCTTCAAACATGATATCACAGACTGGGAATGATTGATTCTCTGACTTCAAGCCTACATGCTTGCTTTCTATTACATGAAACAATTCATAATGGAGAAAAACCCTGTAAACCTTTAGATGCCTCAACACCTGTGTTACAGGAATTATAAGAGAAAAACATTCATGAGTGAAAATTAGTTTAAAGATTTGTTTTAATTTTAATTATGAAATGTCAGTGTGTCTTTGTGTGGGTGTGTGCATGTGCATTCTGGTTGCCAAATAGGTTAGACCCTTGGAGATTTTTGTAGCAAAAATTACTAGAAGTCATCAAAAACCTGACCTTGGTCCTGGGAATAAACTTAAATTAAGGGCTCAGCCATGTCTCTAGTCCTGTAAATATTCTAAAGATATATATATATATATATATATATATATATATATATATATATATATATTGATATTGATATTGATATTGATATTGATATTGATATTGATATTGATATTGATATTAAGAAATAGGGAGGAACTCATACAAGAGAAAACCCTATTCAGGTAAATGATTTGGTAAGGACTTTAAACATCACAGTTGTCTTCAGTTTCAAGAAAAAAATGTGTTTCATCTCCTTTTCATTTTAGCCTTGAAGTAAGTAAATTATTAACCAAGTTCATTGTGGGGTACCTGCCTCAACCTTTTACCCCAGGCTACTCTTGAGGAGTGAGGGATAAGAGATTAGATAGGGAGACACTGCCAGCTGCCGCCATGACCAGCAGCATGTGAAGACACCGGTAAGCCACCAGCCACGTGGC